GAGTTGTCTTTGTGCATGCAGAGTGGAAGGTTTTAGGACCAATCAAAGGTGAGTCAGATGGGAACCATGCGCTGAAAAAACTAGGAGTTTAGTACGAGGGATAAGACACACAAAAATTATAAGGTAAAAAAAAAAGAGAGAAGTGAGAAAGCTAAAGAGGAAGTGATAAGGAAGTTCACAGGAGTGACAAATATTTGCAGTTGGGAAAACTCTAAGTAAGAGGCAAAGGCTGATGCAAAGTACCTCCCAGGCTGTATTGGCTCCTTTTTAATTTTCCGTATTTGTAGGTCGCTTTCTTTAGGTTTTTGCTTTAATATTCTACCAGCAGATTAGGGAGTCAGGCAACAGTTTATAATGACTTCTGTCCAGCTTGTTTCTGTACCCCTATGAAAGATTTTGTCAGGCCGGGCGCGGTGGCTCAAGCCTGTAATCCCAGCACTTTGGGAGGCCGAGACGGGCGGATCACAAGGTCAGGAGATCGAGACCAGCCTGACTAACACGGTGAAACCCCGTCTCTACTAAAAAAATACAAAAAACTAGCCGGGCGAGGTGGTGGGCGCCTGTAGTCCCAGCTACTCGGGAGGCTGAGGCAGGAGAATGGCGTAGACCCGGGAAGCGGAGCTTGCAGTGAGCTGAGATCCGGCCACTGCACTCCAGCCTGGGTGACAGAGCAAGACTCCGTCTCAAAAAAAAAAAAAAAAAAAAAAAGAAAGATTTTGTCATAGCAGTTGTATGTAGAACTGTTTTAAAAATCCATTTCAAAGAGCAAATAATATTATCCAGTCATATTTGGAAAGGATCTCTACATAAAATAGGGTTTTTAACGTTAACATTTCAAAGATCTTCAAAATTAGATTTTACTTCACAGAATCCTAATCTACTTGTCTGGCTTCACACAGCGTTTCTCTACTTTGTAAAAAGCATGACCCTTTGTGGTAAGTATTACAGCCCCACCAGCCTACTCTCTTCTATGGAGAATCGTCCATCTATAATGATTACGCATCCGTAGGACCAAAAGAATTATGGCATTCTCATTAAAGGGCATCTCCCTAATTAGACACAAACACACACACATATGATGAGTGAGGCTACAGATCAGTTTTTATTAGTAAAAAAGTATCTAAAACAGCTCAACTACTTTTGAAAAGTGTGCCTTTGCTTTCTATGAAATTCTATTTGAGGAAACTCATAAACAATGAATTTTCCTGAAGGAAACAAATGGAAATAAAATACAAAATGTAGTGAGCTGTGGATATGCAGAGGCAGTTATTTACTCTAAACAATACCTGGCTTTGTACTTTCCAATTCATTGTGCCATCTGAACATACCAATTATTACAGAGATTAAGACTCCAAGCTTTTTCCTTATTCTATACACTCACCTCCCTTCTGTCCAACAAGATTATCTTCTCCCAAAGGATTCTCAATAGTTGGCATAAAATCAAAAAAGTAAAAAGGCCAACCTCACCTATAAAAACCCCAAAATAAAAACAGCACCAAGTGAGATAGCTAAAGTTTCCAGATCCTTAACTAGGCATATCTCAACGTGCTTTATTTAAAATAAACGAACTCTTTGAGTGCCTTAAGAGAATATATTTAAATAAACACAGAACTCCTCTATTTTTGACTAGATGTCTAATTTTTTTAAAAAAGTATTATATAGCTAATCACGGTTCAATCTGTTAGAACTCAACTTTTTCTATTCTATAAAGAAAAAATCTCATACCCCAAAGCATTTGCTTGGGAATTTCGGGAGAGAGCTCTGCAACACACCAAGTCCCATTCGCCCACGCCCCCCCATCTAAAAAACAAAGTTTGGGGAAGTACTAGGCTTCTGACTTTGACAAGTCCCAGAAGACAAAGCCCAGGGCTGACCCCCCGCGCCTGGCGCCGCCCGTTCGTAGGCCACGAGCGGCCAGGGCCTCCGGCATGCTCTCCCACACGTACGCGGAGCTGGCAGCAGCCACCCCACCGCGCACACGCAGCCACCTTGCGCGGCTGGAGCCCCGGAGCCCGGGGCCGGAGCCGAGGGCGGAGGCCCGGACTGCGGTGCTGCGCCCAAGCACGTACTGAGGCGTGGCCTGCCGCGCGCCAGGCGGGGCTCGGGAATTTTCTCGGGTTGGCTGGGCTTTCGCATCCTCATCATGTAGCGCCAGCCGCACCAGGAACAGAAGGGTGCCGGTTCCCTTCCGCATGCTTGGTATTTTCCCCGCAGGGCTCTGACCGCTGCCGCTCTCAGGCACCTGTCTTTCCTCTCCGTCCCAGAATGGAGCCAAGACAAGGGAATAAAGGAAATTCAATAGTACACGGAGATCGGGTGTCTGGGCAGCGTCTTGGAAAAACTATCCACTACAGGTAAGAATAAAAAATGATGTGCAAACCTCTGAAAGGTGTGAACACATCAGATCTCCAGAACGCGTTCATAGGAAGGTTTATGGTAAAGTATAACTTTTATCCTACAGGGAGACTATTTCGTATCGAATTCCACTGATTTCACTAATTCTCTGTAAAATGATCTGGGACGACAGGTTCACCTCTATTTAAAGGAACGGAATACGAGCCAAGTGGTTAGTGGAAAACTTAAAAAAAAAAAAAGTAAAAGTTTTTCTTCTTTACATTTTTGTTGATTCCAGCTAGCAACACGTTTGCAAAGGTTTTATTTAACCAGATCTTAATGTTGAAAAAAAAGAAAAAAGGATTCTTTACTCTGCAACTTGTTTTAGGTATTGCTACTTGAAAATTTTTAACTTTTAGATTGAGTTTCTACAAAGCGAGTAATTTTAAGTTCATCTTTTCTGTACAGAGGTTTCTAGGAGGAAATCAATATTTGGAATGGTAATCGTGAGGTTATAAAAACTTGTATCTATTATGCCATTAAGTCAAAACAGCTCTGGGAAAAACATACCATACATTGATAGTCTTTTATAGTTTGTGCTTTCCCATTCACTACCTCGTTAATATGAGTTAATGTCTCCATAACTGGAGATCTCAATCTCTAGTTCGAATTCAGAACCCACTAAATAGCACTTGAAAACTTTCATTCATTTCTACTTATGCCCTGCCCCTCCTCTTAGGACATTCCCTCAATGTGTTATGTGATCTCATTACTTTCAAGTGACATCGGACCCTCAGTTTTCCACACCTCCATTGCTGCCTTCTGTTTGCTATTTAAACACAGTTAATAATGGAGAAAAGCATATGTTCAACTGGATTGGCTAGCACTGCAGGGTGGTTAGCTCCATGGGCTTTGGAGTCACTGATGGCCACCTCAAAAGCTCTGAATCTTAGATCACTTCTTCAAGACTATATACTCTATAGATATACTCCTCCCTTATCTGGTACTGCTATGAATGAACTATATATAGCATTTAGAGCTCAAATGAAGAATGATGTACCCAAGCTCTAGGAGTAATAGATGGCAAACCAAAAATGTAAGCTTAAGTCTCCTGACTCTAAAGTCAAACTTAGAACAAACTTGTTTTTAATGATACTGCATTACAAAAATTGAAATAGCTTTATTCTTTTTCTCCTGTATTTTAATGAAATAGCTACATTTCTTTTATACTCAGAATGTACATTCTCATTTTCTGGGTTGTGAGTATAAAAAAATACAGTTGTTTCGTAAAATAGGGAGGGGAGAGGCATATTAAGGAGGGAACAACTATTCCAGAATTATAGTTGCCAGGGTTGGGTTATAAGCCTTGAATAAAACCATTATGAAGAAATTTGTGACAGTGCATAAAATTGGGAAGGGCTAGTTCTTCTATTCTGTAGCTTAAAGCACTCCAAGTAGCTTGTTTTCTGAGTGACTGAGCAGTAGGTAAATACTTGCTTCCTTCCTGCTGTACTGTCCTTTAACGTGGCTTTCCCTTCTCAGTGCTTTCAGAAGTCATTTTCCTGAACTGCTGGTCATTAATCTACTGATTTACAAATAGTTTTAAACTGAAGCTAATCTGCTACCTAAGCATAATTTTTTGTTTTGTGACCTGTGAATAGTAAGCAACTACTTTATTCTAAAATACCACTTCTAGTGTACTACTATCTGTAACTAAATGTTGAAGCACTTTGGGTCACAGTATTTGTGGTTAAATATACGTGTGCCCCTCCCCCGCAATTTTGCACTGAATCTTAGTATTGTTAACTTTTGTTCCAAAATTTTCATATAATTGTAATCACTGTCCTCCATTCTAAGATAAAAACAGCCACCTAAGATATCTGTGGCTCAGTTCCTTTTGTTCAGTATATATACCTCAGGGTACAGGATATAAGGCTCTGGCACTTCCTACATAATTTGTTCATAAAAATAATTTTCTGTACTTGTAGGTGCAGGGATTCATAGTGATTTTTTGGTTTTAAGAAATATCTTTCTACACTGATTTTTTAAAATGAGATTATGAGTATAAAATACAGCTATTTTGTAAAAGAAAAATACAGGAGAAAAAGGATAAAGCTACTTTGTTTTAAAATGCAGTATCATTAAAACAAAAATCAAATTTGTTCTAAGTTTGACTTTAGAGTCAGGAAACTTAAGCTTACATTTTTGGTCTGCCATGTATTGCTTTTAAAGCTTGGGCAAATTCTTCTTCATTTGAGGTCTAAATTTATTAATCTGTTAATGGGAATAGATTAGAAATCTTCAGAGAAACTCTAGCCTTTGTAACATTATGTGACTATAATGCTGAGAACGGCTTCACTCATCCCATGCATGTTTTAAAAATACTAAAATTTTGTGTTTGAACATTTTAATAGGCCCAGAAACTTAAAAATGACATTTCTTTTCTAATAACATACTCTTTTCAATGGGATATTATGGTTGTTATTATTTAACATGACATTTAGGGACTCAACATACATTAAGGTGATGGCAATAAGACAAATGTAGAAATAACCAGTACCATGTAATTTTCATAAAGTGCTTAAACTGTTGGTAAACAATTTTATGAGTTGGAGGTGTTGAAGCAAATATTATTTATATTTGAACATAAAAGCTGATCAAAGGGGCCTGGTCCACAGAAGATGTTTATTTGATGTAACAAAACAATACAGTTAGTGTTAGATCCAACCACAAAGAGCAAAAGGAATGAAAAATTTGTACAATGTACATAGAAAAAACAAGGTATTTACTGTGACAACTATATATTCCTAAAATAATGCTTCTAAAATTATTCAATTATTGAAATCTACATTAAAAAAAGGATGTTAATAGCGACAAAGTGCATAAAATCAAACATTGTATTTTGAGCAAATTAACATACTAGGCAATTTTGCTAAGAATGCATGATTTTTTTTTTCTTGTTTACAGTCTGCTCAAAATATCTATACCAACAGGGTAGGCAGAACATTTAGGTTTAATATCAGTTACACAATATTAGCATAAACTTCCACAACTACATAGGGTATTGTTTTCTTTTGAGCTGGCAAAGTGACTATAGAAACATCAGATGATTTCTCTGAATTGAGAATTTTATCCAAATAAATGCCACATACCTTCTAGATATATGCATATCTTTCTATATCATGTAAATGGCTTTACCCATTTAAATAATAAACCATACAGCATTTAAGAATCATTATATGATTAACAATGTCATGTTCCAGGTTTAACAATTTCATAGGCCAAAAAAAATTTCTTCTTAAAAACTAGTTTTATAAATGCAGAATATATTCCATGAGTAACTGCTGGTATTTTTTAAGAAAATATATTGTGCAATTGTGGCTACCACGTACTGCTGGCAAAGCATTATTATTTATGTAAAATGTGAAAAAAAAGGTGTAAAAATTTTTCAACTGCCTATGATCATGATGAAAGGTTACTGCCTTCTTACAAAAATTATATTGGCATCTTCTTAAAAATAATTCGAAAAAGGGATAAACTCCCTAGCCAAAAATAAATAAATAAAAAGGTGCATTTTTTTAAAATGATGCTACTGCAATGCAATGGTTTAAATACCAAAAAAACTGAGAAAATAAGCTGTCTGTGATCCAGCATTAAAGAACATACTAAAAAAGAGCATTAATGTAAATTAAGTAGAAAGGGGATCAAAATTGAACTAACCAAGTTTGTGCAGTATTGTAGCCAGGCTTCTAAAATTAGATGTAGAAAATATAAATAGACTGCTTTAGGTAATGAGCCACCAGTGTCCAAAAAAAGGAATGAAATTATGAAAAAGCTCAGTTAACTTGATCCAAAGCTCTGAGTAATTCTTCACCCTGCAGTAGGTTTCTGCTGCCTTGTATAGGAGCATTAACTTCACAATCATAACTGGTCAGCTGTGGTAATCCACTTTCATCCATTGATTGCCCCAGCAGTCTACATGCTAAATCTGAAAAACAAACGAGATACCTAAGTATACATTCATCTAGTCAATGAATATTTATTAAACACCCACAATGTGTTAGGTATCATAGAAAATAAAGCAAACTTCTAGAGGGCTTTTAGTCTACCTGGCAAAACAACAACTATGTAAAAAAGTAAATATAATCAAGTGATACTGTTGCTGTCTCAGAAATGTTTACAGGATACAATAAAGGCACAAAGAAATAACAGTTTGGAAAAAGGCACAAATATGGTGGGCATCGCGGCTGATGCCTGTAATCCTAGCACAGGCTGAGGCAGAAGGATCACTTGAGGCCAGGAGTTTGAAACCAGCCTGGGCGACGTAGTGAGACCCCATCTCTACAAAAAGCAGCCGGGCGTGGTGAGGCATGTCTGTAGTGCGAGCTACTCAGGGGGCTGGAATGATTGCTTGAGCACAGGAATTTGAGACTGCAGTGAGCTATGATCATGCCACTGCACTCCAGGCCTGGGCAACAGAGCAAGACCCTGTCTCAAAAAAAAAAAAAAAAAGGAAAAAAAAAAAGTAGTCATAAAAATTCACAAATTTCAGCTTCTATCAATATTGACAGCACATAGACATAGATAAGTCAAAGAAAATTATGAAAAATGAAAAGCTCCACCTTGAAATGTTAATCTCTGTATTAAGACCATTAAATGAAATACGACTTTACTTTTTTTTTTTTTTTTTTTGAGGCAGAGTCTCACTCTTGTCACGCAGGCTGGAATGCAGTGATGCCATCTTGGCTCATTGCAACCTCTGCCTCCCGGGTTCAAGTGATTCTCATGCCTCAGCCTCCCAAATAGGTGGGATTACAGGCGCCCGCCACCACACCCAGCTAATTTTTGTATTTTTAGTAGAGACGGGGTTTCACCATGGTGGCCAGGCTGGTCTCCAACTCCTGACCTCAGATGATCCACCCGCCTCGACCTCCCAAAGTGCTGGGATTACAGGCGTGAGCCACCGCGCCCAGCCGCAACTTTACTTTTTAATCTTGCTAAGGAACCAAAGTCATTTCTCACTTAGATTAAAGCTCCTAAACAAAAATGTTTCATGTATTTTGTCTTTGTGATGTTCAAGGTCAGAAAGAATAAACTAACCAGAGGGTATTAAAATAATTGTCTTTTGCTCCATTCCATTCTGTTCACTAGATTTGCATCCTTTTACACGTTTCCAAGAAAGTGATGTAGTAGCTGCATGATCGTCTGGCTGCTGTAATAATGTTCCCTATAAACAGTAAAGTTATTTCAAGTTTAGTTTGTTCAATTTTTTTTAAACAACCAAAAACCTTGAAATCAGTGTAGATTTAATAACATTATATAGGCAGTTTCTAAAATACTACCCTAAATTATTTTAAATACTTTCTTAAGTTATTTGCTATCCATTATGACTATAAAGTTATTTGCCATCCATTATGACCATTCTGTCTATAAATACTTTCCAGTTAATTTAGTTTGAAAATATCAGAATGTATTATACCACCATTGACTTACCCCAAAACATAGCAGTTCTTTTTTTAATTTGAGATGAACTCTTACTCTCTCACCCAGGCGGAGTGCAGTGGCCTGATCTCGGCTCACCGCAGCCTCCACCTCCCGGGTTCAAGCTATTCTCTTGCCTCAGCCTCCAGAGTGGCTGGGATTACAGTTGTGCACTACCACGCCTGGCTGATTGTTGTATTTTTAGTAGAGACAGGGTTTCACCAAGTTGGCCAGGCTGGTCTCAAACTCCTGACCTCAAGTGATCCTCACCTCGGCCTCCCAAAGTGCTGGAATTACAGGTGTGAGGCACTGCACCCGGCCAATACCAGTTCTTTTAATCAGGCAAAGTAACTTAAAGGGAAGAGAATGAGATTGGTGGTGATATTCAGGGTGGAGTAAGGGGAGAACTTCACTTTTTAATTCAAAATACATTGGAATTGTTTGGAATTTTTATACCAAGAATGTATTCATTAAACATTTGTATTTTTAAAAACCAGTGTATACAGAGTAAAAAAAACCCAATGTATAAATTCTGAAAATATAACTTTACTATTTGGAAGAAACATGGAAACACACACACACACACACACACACACACACACAGAAATAGCACATTAGCTAGAAAAGCAAAACCTACTACTCTCATACTTACAATTCCTACTGCTTGAAAAAGTGAACCATCATGTTCCATTTTTCGCTTTCTCTGAGCATTCTGCAAAGCTAGTATCTTTGGATTTAGTTCTTCCTCAGGAACTGTAGTTCTGAAAAGAAAAAAGTTGTAAATGAAAATATAGCTCTTTTATTTTTTTAAAAACTATCCAGTGAGCTCTTTTAAAGAAAATACATAATTCCTTAGTTCTCCAATATTAAGGAATGTAATATATATAACATAACTCTCCTGATTACTAAAGTTTATCACCCTAAAAGTCAAAGCTTATTTTTTTTTTGGGTGAAACAGGGTCTCACTCTGTCAGCCAGGCTGGAGTGCAAAGACATGATTTCTGCTTACTGTAACCAAGCTCTGTCTCTGGAGTCAAGTGATCCTCCCACCTCAGCCTCTCAAGTAGATGGGATTATGGCTGATTTATATATATATATTTTTGTAGAGATGGGATTTCACCATGTTGCTCAGGGTGGTCTCAAACTCCTGAGCACAAGTGATGTGCCCACCTTGGCCTCCCAAAGTGCTGGGATTACAGGCGTGAGCACCTGGCCTTCAAAGCTTAATTTAACAGAAAATTTTCTACAGTTTGCATATCCCTATTTTATAAAATACAGCTGAACACAACTAAATTGACATTATTGTAGAGTCAAAACAGTTAAATATTGTCCTTTTATTCCACCTAACATAACAATGCAGTGATACTGTTGGGACTATTGAAATATAAGATCAATTTCACATTCGTATAGCATTTTCAGTTTATAAAACATTTCAAGTTCATTAGTTCATTTTAATCTTAAGTTCCCAAGATAGATAAGGCAGGCATATCATACCCATCTTATAAATGAGAATCCCGAGGCCTATTGGGTAACTTTCTCAAAGTCCTACTGCTCACTAGTTGTGATATGAAGTACACTCTAGGTCTCCAGATCCCTACCTCCCCTCCCCTGCTCTTTCCACTATGTTATTTTTCACTCAGTATTGATCTGGTTATCAAACATGAACTATGTATATCTAAAATTAATATTAAATCATGAAGAATTGTTCTAATGAGTAAAGTACATCAGCTTTGTTATATTATTTTGAATTTTCAAGACCCCCCCATAAACCAAATGCATAATCATAATGGCTCCTTGCTGTTCCAGATAGTTTAGAATGCCAAATAGGTAAGTGATCTAACTGCTCTCTTATTTTGCAGTTTTCTTTGGTTTTTAAAAAATTTCTATAAAACTTCTATTATACAGACAGGCAAGTTTAAAAATTCTTATATAGATATATTGTCTTTATGAAATGTACACTCAGTCTATCATGTAAATATCATTGTAGTAGTAGTACTTAGTAGTTATGTTTTTAATGGTTTAATTTTTGAAATTCCTTTCATAAAAGTTTTCAGTGTACACTACATTGGAACTAATGTTTAAAAACAATTGCTAGCTGGGTGCAGTGGCTCATGCCTGTAATCCCAATACTTTGGGAGGCTGAGGCGGGCGGATCACCTGAGGTCGGGAGTTTGAGATCAGCCTGACCAACATGGAGAAACCCTGTCTCTACTAAAAATATAAAATTAGCTGGGCGTGGTGGCGCATGCCTGTAATCCCAGCTACTCGGGAGGCTGAGGCACGAGAATCGCTTGAACCGGCGAGGCAGCGGTTGCGGTGAGCTGAGATCCGTGATCACGCCATTGCACTCCGGCCTGGACAACAAGAGTGAAACTCTGTCTCAGAAAAAAAAAAAAAAAATTGCTAAAGTGATCTGATGTGTTACCCTTTGGCTTTGACAAGTACAAGAGAACAGTTGTTCAGAAAACTGGATATCCCATCCTCTGTAGCTGATTGTAAACTATAACTTAGAAGTGATTGTCATTTTTATTACTGTAGTCATGCATCTGTCAGTCCAACAACCTTTTTTTTTTTTTTTTTTAAAACGGAGTTTCACTCTTGTTGCCCAGGCTGGAGTGCAATGGCATGATCTTGGCTCACTGCAGCCTCCGCCTCCAGGGTTCAAGCAATTCTGCTGCCTCAGCCTCCCAAGCAGCTGAGATTACAAGCGTGTGCCACCATGCCCAGCAAATTTTTGTATTTTTAGTAGACAGGGTTTCACCATGTTGGCCAGACTGGTCTCAAACTCTTGGCCTTAGGTGATCCACCCGCTTCAGCCTCCCAAAGTGCTGAGATTACAGGTATGAGCCACCGCGCCCGGCCCCAACAACCATTTACTGACGAAGTACTACACATTAGGTCATGAGCTAAGTATTAGTATCACTAAAATACCCAAGACACTATGATTGCCGTCGAGGAGCTCAGAGTCAAAAATGAGTTAGTGATACAGTAAATAAAGTAACGGAAAGTACTTCTGAGTTCATCTAAAGCCCCAAGATCTTTTCCAAGCTTAGGGAAAAGACGTCTCCCAGCACTCTAGGTCAAGGTGGGAATGCTAGGCAGGGAAAAAAACCTATGTGCTCTGGCTACAACAGTGGTTCTTTCCTATTGCTATTGATAGCTGGCTTAGTCTAGACATAGTAGAGGAGGAATCATTCCCCTCTTCCACACACTTATTAGATAAAAATTTCTTCTAGCTATAGCCTCAAACTTAAAGTATGTGAAATCCCCTTACAAATTATATACAGAAAGTATAATTTAAAAATTGGGTCATGTCCATGTTTGTTTGAACTAGCTCCACAGAAGTAATGTCATAATTCATGCTTAGATTTCTGGTATAGAGTTAGAAAACCTATGTAGCCTGCAATATATATATAGCTAATGTTCTATAAATATGTAATGAAAAATAAAAGCAACTTTAATACAAGTTAACTATAATAAAATTTTAAAAGAGGGGCTTGTAAATATCTATATTGAATGCTGAAGATGGAAGGCTCAATTTGGAATGTGCAATTGGAAATAACCCTTAAGTTGGAAGGGCTTTCCTTCAGATAAGCTTAAAAAAGAGCTCTAAGAAATGGAAGCATCTAAGTAGCAAGGGTAGTTAACTAGTCTGATTTAAACAACTGCAAGAAGTACATCTGAGCCAACTCTTACATATTTACAGAACTTAACTGAGCTGGATTTTATTTTAAAGGTGTCGAAAGACCCTCCCACATTTAGATAGATAATTTTAGAATTTATAATTATTTTAGAAAAAATAGGGCTGGGTGTGGTGGCTCAGGCTGGTAATCCCAGCTCTTTCGGAGGCCGAGGCAGGGGGATCACCTAAGGTCGGGAGTTCGAGACCAGCCTGACCAACATGGAGAAACCCTGTGTCTACGAAAAATACAAAAAAAATTAGCTGGGCGCGGTGGCGCATGCCTGTAATCCCAGCTACTTGGGAGGCTGAGGCAGAAGAATGGCTTGCACCCAGGAGGCGGAGGTTGTTGTGAGCTGAGATTGTACCATTGCGCTCCAGCCTGGGTGACAGAGCAAGACTCTGTCTCAAAAAAAAAAAAAAAAAGAGGTTAATTTAGAAAGTTTTTTGAGTGCTCAAGAATTTGCCTTAGGGCATATATATCAGAAAGTTTGCTATAAGTTTAGAAATCATGTACTATCACATACATTTATCTCAAAAATAATAAAAGAACTGTAACTTGAATGTTACACATAAATACCTTTGACTCAAAGTGACAGATAACACGTTAGGGCTTCTTGGATGAGATTTTTCTGTCTGTTCTATGACTCCTTTTCCTGCTCTGTTTGGTGAGGCTGTCCGACTTTGAGTATCTCTATATGGTGATGATGTGGCACTTGTAGTTTCTTTATGTATGTGGGTAGAAGATGGAGATGCAATCAATATTTTAATGTCTTCCATACGGTCTTTTGTCACTGTTTTTAATTCATCAGTGGTGGCAGTGGTAGTGGTGGCATTAGCAGTAGGTTCTTGTATTTGAGTCTGCTGGAATACTGTAACTGTGCTTTGAGGACTTGCGCTTTCAGGGCTTGCGGAACTGCTTTCTAATGGTGACAACTGATCGAAGGAACGTAACTGGAAGTCATCATCCATTGGGATATAGGGAGCTAACATCTCCAAGTCTAAATCTGTGTCCTTTAAAACAGCAAATACGTGAGTTTTTACAATGGCCACACTTTATAAATAAAAAACAAGTGAAACTCAAAGTTACTTCAGACTAAAAATTAATGAAATTTAATATAAAACAAGTAAGTTCATATACCTGAGTGGAAAATGGGTTCTTTGCTTCTGTGTCTTCAGCAAAAAGTTTTTCTACCAATTCCAACTTGAATTCATTGACCATATCACTATCCACATAAAAACAATATTCACTGGGACTATTAGGCTGTAAAAAGAAATACATTTACTATTTCCTGAAGAAGCCTCCACATACTTTGCTAGTTGTCAGAATTTTCAAACTAGATCTCAGAAAAACCAGAAAACACACAACCAAGTCCATCGTGTTTATCAAATTTTATTTAACTAGGCCGGGCTCGGTGGCTCACGCCTGTAATCCCAGCACTTTGGGAAGCCAAGGCGGGTGGATCACGAGGTCAAGAGATTGAGACCATCCTGGCCAACATGATGAAACCTTGTCTCTACTAAAAATACAAAAATTAGCTGGGCATGGTGACATATGCCTGTAATCCCAGCAACTCAGGAGGCTGAGGCAGGAGAATCACTTGAATCTGGGAAGCGGAGGCTGCAGTGAGCCAAGATCGTGCCACTGCACTCCAGCCTGGTGACAGAGTGAGACTCCATCTCAAAAAAAAACACAAAAAGTGAAAATAGTGACATTTTGAAGCTTATACTGATAACTAATTTTGCCAATATACATATTTCTGACTATGTAATATAACATCATTTACAAAATTAAGATGAAAAGAAACCTTATTCTAAGAATAAAACCTATTTGGTAATTCACATTCCACAATGGTACCTAATTGACCAATTAACTAGATGCTACATTCACTGGAATTTGTCTTTGAACTGAGAAGGCACATTCCTGTGGTGACTGAGCTACGTAAAAATCTCACAGCTATTGTTAGGGGTGGGAGTAGAAACTTAAGTTATTTTACCTGCATATACCTGAACGAATGTACATTATTACTATTTTAAGAGTTCCGGGCAAGAATTTTAACAAAAAACTATAGCTGTGTATTCTAAACAAGAAATTTTGCTTTCCTCATTCTAATGTTTTTGTTAGATTTACTTTTGTTAGATAAAAACCAAGATGAACCAAACTTTTTTTTGTGGTGGGTAAATTAAGCAACCAGAGCATAGGATATATATTCATTCACCACAAGGCTATGAGATGTCAAATCTCCTACTCTTAGCTTGTCAGTTTTATTCAACAAATATTCAATGTAGAATTATTTACCACTTATTAAAGCTTATTTATGCCTCATTTATCAAGTTATAATGTTTGGATCTTAGTTGTCCTACTCCTGAGTATATTTTTAGATGTACGAAGCCCTAAAATGGAATCATTCTAGATTTAGAAATAGAGCCCTGTGTGATATCTCCAGTCTTGGCCAGCCTAGCCTTTAAAGATTATTTTTATTGTGTTTATAGGACAATTAATATCAAGACAGATCCAGAATAAAAAAGACCAGTTACTAAGTATTTTATGTAACACTTATTTTCATGTTACACTTATCCAAAATTTCAAAATAGTAATGGAAATTGGACTAAACTGGGCAAAGAATTTATAAAGTCCTTTCCCATTTAAACCCTGTTAAGTCTATTGCTACCAGACAGTTCTCCAACTCAAAGGGGTAATGGGCCAGGCATGGGAACTCACGCCTGTAATCCTAGTACTTTGGGAGGCCAAGGCAGGAGGATCGCTTGAGCCCAGGAGTTTAAAACCAGCCTGGGCAATATAGTGAGAACCCTGACTCCACCAAAAAAAAAAAAATGGTTAAAAAATCAGCCAGGCATGGTGGTGTGGGCCTGTAGTCCCAGCTACTCGGGAGACTGAGGTGGGAGAATCATTTGAGCCTGGAAGGTTGAGGCTGTAGTGAGCTGTGATTGCACCACTGCACTCCAGCCTGGGTGATAGTGAGACTCTCAAAACAAAACAAAACACAATAAAACAAACTAAAAGGGGTAACAGGTATAGGCTGTGGCTACCTTGAGCACACTTAGTACTATTCTCTTTAAATGTCCAAATTCAGGATGTTTTTGTCCTACTGATATAGAGAAATAATGTACATTTCACCTTTTGGTTTATATTAAGCTAGTTTCTTCCCATGTTCCTGACTATCTTTGAGCCTAAAACATATGCTCAGGTCTAAGTTAGGCAATAGCTCTTGCAATAATTTTAAAGTGCTAAAATTCAAACACACACACAAATGTAATTTGTGGTTCAAATGAGTGTTTGAGTCAAACTTATAAATACATTCTTGAATGTTAAAATCTGAAAGTTGTCTCTTTCTGATTATATCATGACACCTACCTCAGGTGAACTTTGTCTAGTGCTTCCATCAGAAGGACTAGGTGGCTGATCCTGAATTTGGGGCATGGTAAAAGAAAGTTCCAGTGACTCTGGATTTGGTTCTAATTTTAATGCAACTTCTTGATTGAGTGCAGGGTCAGCACTACTTCGAAGTGGCTTTGGCGTTTCAGAGGTGGGTAATGGAGACATTGCCAAATTTATATTCTGTAATTTTTCGTTGGATGAGGGGAGCATTACATCATTATACAATGGTACTTCCTCAAGTTGCTGGTCATCAGTTTCTGTGTCTGTGGGGAAAAAATATGAGTCAGTCTAAAGTATACAAGGATTTTTTTTTTAACCCAAGACAGTCTTGCTATGTTGCCCAGGCTGGAGTACAATGGCACAATCTTGGCTCACTGCCACCTCAAGCAATTCTCCTGCCTCAGCCTCCCAAGTAGTTGGGATTACAGGCGCACACCACTACGCCCAGCTAATTTTTGTATTTTTGGTAGAGACCGGGTTTCACCATGGTGGCCAGGCTGGTCTCGAACTCCTAACCTCAAGTGATCCACCCGCCTTGGCCTCCCAGAGTGCTAGGATTACAGGCGTGAGCCACTGCGCCTGGCCACAGGGATTTTAACATACAAAAAATTTGTGTTCCTTTTCACGAAAGATTTGTCTAATTCATCAAACAACAAAATGTTAACAAATTTTCCTTCATCAGAAAGTTGACATATAATAGTATAGTATAACCATAAGTCTGGGTTATCTTTACAATCCACTATTGATACCTCCTCTTAATCTCTACGGCATAAAAGACAAAAGGCAACACCAACCTTTTTATACATTAAAATGTTCTCTACTTTAAAATTGCAGTTTTCATCTTCAATGCTTCATGTTATAGTATGACTGCCTTTTTATCCTTTAATGCAACAATGCCTACTTCCATGTAACTCTGCTAAACTGTGGAGAAAATCTGACAGCAGGATACAGAAATAGAGCAGCCAGGAAAAATTTATGTGGGAAGAAGAAATACCTTAAGGACACTTTGAAGCACAATTTCCAACAATATAAAAAAGCAAGAATGGTAAGAAATTACGAGGGCAAAAATATTTAAGCAAATACATTTAAGAAAACTATAAAAATATATTAGCTTGTAATGTCCAAATGATTACCAACAAAAAACGTCAAAGTAATGTTTAGTTGAAATGAGGCTTGTAGCAACAGACACACTTTAGGGCATTAACAAAATAACTACTCACCGTTGCTGCCAAAATCTAAAGATATGATTGTGTCTCCAGCGGCTGGGGCCAGCAAAGTTAAAGCATCAGGTTCCTTCTTAAGTTTGTCAAAGAGGCTACTTGTATCTTCTGATTCAACTTTGGTGAATAGCTGAGTCATTTTCATATCTGAAGATTCAACTGGTTTAAGGACACATTCTGTTTGTTGAAGGGAGAAAATCAAGTCGTGCTGAATAATACCACTGTCAAAACAAGAGAAATTAGTAATTCACAAATGAGCACTTGACACAGTGAGGGGAAGGGGGACTGTGAAAAAGTCTTTAAAAATTCTGCTTTACGGACAGGAACATTTTAAGATTTCTTGAGATGCATGATCACTCACGTGTACTTTGTCACATTTAGGGTTTTAAAATGCTATTACAAAATAAAGACCCAATACAATGCACAGTATGCAGCCATAAAAAAGAATGAAATCATGTTCTTTGCAGCAACATGGATGCATCCAGAGACCATTATCCTAAGTGAGATAACCCAGACACAGAAAACCAAATGCTGCATGCTGTCACTTGTAAGTGGGAGCTAAACATTGGGTTACTTGTGGACATAAAGATGGCATCAACAGACGCTGAGGACTACTAGGAGAGAGGGGCAAGGGTTGAACAACTGTTGGGTATTATGCTCACTATCTGGGTGACAGGATCAATTGTACCCCAAACCTCAGCATCACATGATATACCCATGTAACAAACCTATGTATGTATCCCCTGAATCAAATATAAAAGTTGAAATAAAAAAAAAAATTCCCAGTACAATATAATTTGACTAATTTCAGTTAAGAATTTCACATATCTAGGCTGGGCACAGTGGCTCATGCCTGTAATCCCAGCACTTTGGGAGGCTGAGGCAGATGGGTCGCTTGAGCCTGGGAGTTCAAGAGCCTGGCCAACATGGCAAAACCCTGTCTCTACTAAAAATACAAAAAATTAACCCGGTGTGGTGGTGCACATCTGTAGTCCCAGCTACTTGGGAGGCTGAGGCACGAGAATTGCTTGAGCTCAGGAGGTGGAGTGAGCCAAGATCACACCACTGCACTCCAGCCTGGGCGACAGAGTGAGACTCCGTCTCAAAAAAAAAAAAAAGAAAAAAAGAATTTCAGATATCCTTTGGGAAGAGTGATGATGACAAGGCAATTTGTAGTCAAGTACATGAAGGACACCAACAAATCTTCAGAATTGTGCTGACACACTTTATGAAATTGGCACAAAAGAACTCTTTGGCATCAACATATGAGGCGTGATCTAAGGATAGTCCTAAGAGAGGGGCCATATTTTCTTTGGTGGTAAGAACATAAGGTGATACCACCTACAGGATAGGGTTGAAGAGGGATGATGAGCAACAGTTTATCTTCACGAGTGGCTTAAATGTAAATTACTCCTTTAATTAACATATTAAATGTTCACTATCTGAAATGAACTGAGAATGCAAAGATTAACCTTAAGAACCAAAGATTGACCTTAAGAAATTTATAACCCAGTGTGAAAGTAGATATGTAAACAATTAAAATACACTGTGATAACTGCTAAAATAGAGAAGGCTTGCTTCACTGAGAAGCTAACGAGCTGGTACTTGGGATCAAGTGGCATTTGCTAGGCAGACTGGGGTGTGAGGAAGAGAAAGACATTCCAAGTGGAAGATTCATACATAATGGTAAAGTCACAAAAGAACTCTGTGGCACTAATATAAAAACATTAAAGGATGGTGTCAGAAGTGGCCAAAATAAAAACTGGCCAAAGTCTTCCTAAGAGGGGTGACCCTAGATTTTAAAGGGAAGGCTAAATCTCTGATGCGTGAGTATGGTGGTAAACAAGGATGCTATACACCTAGGCAAGTGTTTATCTTGGAAGTGATAAAAAGATCACTAAAATTCTAAGGAAAATAAGATGATGAGATATCCACACTAGAAAGCTTAGCCTGGCAGTAATGGGCAAGGTGGAATAGAAGGTGGTAATAATGTGGACAGGTAGACTAGATGGGGCAGGAGTCTAGTAAAATAGATCAAATGAAAGATTAAATTGTGATGTACATAATATTCACAAGCCAAAGAGCTAAGTGAAAAGTTCATGAATATACAAGAGCCATGTATTACATTATACAGCTTATTAATCTCATAGAATTTCGTTTAATTTTCATTATAACCTTCTGAACGATTATCTACACAGATGAAATTCAGATAAATGAAGAGACTTCCCCAAGGTCAGGGAGCTAATGAGTGCTAGAGCTATGATACAAACCTAGGTCAGTATTCTTCCTACAAAAAGAACAGAGCTGTCTTGAGATAATATATGCCGATACCTGTATAAGTAGACCAAACCAGTCGATGGATCTGGTGTTTTTTTCATGGTCTTTTTAAAAATAGGAGTGAAGGTATGGGGATAGACAACTACTGACAGTATTTAGTGGTATCACTGTAGAATAGCTGGGCTGGAAACCTAGGTCAGAGTACAGAAAATAATAATTTGGTAGAGATGTAAAAGAATTAAAATTTGGCCGGGCGCGGTAATCCCAGCACTTTGGGAGGCCGAGACGGGCGGATCACGAGGTCAGGAGATCGAGACCATCCTGGCTAACACGGTGAAACGCTGTCTCTACTAAAACATACAAAAAACTAGCCGGGCGAGGTGGCGGGCGCCTGTAGTCCCAGCTACATGGGAGGTTGAGGCAGGGGAATGGCGTGAACCTGGGAGGCGGAGCTTGCAGTGAGCTGAGATCCGGCCACTGCACTCTAGCCTGGGTGACAAAGCGAGACTCCGTCTCAAAAAAAAAAAAAAAAAAAAAAAAAAAAAAAAAAAAAAAAATTTAGTTAATATTTATAATCTTATCTTCCTATAAATGAACAGAATATCCAAAAAGAATCACTATTTATTCCCCAAAAACGTTTATTTCTCAAACTTACCTCACAACATAATTCACACATACAATGCACTGTGGTTGAGAGTTCTTGGTGTTATATATAACAGTTGCTTGAGTTTCAACCCAGACATATCCACCTCTTTTGGCAAGCATCCTGTACTGTCCTGTGGTGACTTGTCCTTTAGTAAACACTAGGGGGAAAAAGGAAAAAGAATCATGCAAAGAAAATATTGTAACTTTGAATTTTCAATTAAATGAACAGATGCTGAATGTTGATCATTGTTTTAGAAAACAAATGTTTATTTAGTGGAATCAGTTTTAACTGCTTAAATTCAGACAGTGTGTCCCAGAATAGCTGAAAATATACCCATTTCTTTTTTCAAACCCCCTAAATAAAACTCCTTTGCTGCCAATGAGCTAAGTGAAGAGTTCATGAATATACAATCTTCAGTAACTAAAATTCCTTTAATGACTTAGGTTGAAAGTGTAAGATTAGAGAATAATTAGTAGCCTTTTTCAAGAAAATGGTGCCACAATAACTTCCTTAAATTCTGACTAAAGTTTCCAGAGAACCAAAGATGCTTTAAAAAGCTGTACGTAGCATATTTAAATATAAATTGATACCACATTGTAAGTCTTTTGGCAATTTAGGCAATTTAAATTAAATATTGATTTGGGAGAAAGTACTGAATAAATCCTAATGATGGTATTATTTTGAGGATTGGGGGGTCCTGACTGCAGACTTGGATTTACTCTTGAGTTCAAGGCTCATCAATCACACAAACTCAGTGATATTCAGGTATCCTCAATCACAGTCAGAAGTCATGCATAGGTACAGATTAAACAGGTGAGATAGTCCAAAGTTTAACTTATCTTGGGATCTTAACATTCATTTGAGTAAAATTCAGAATCAAATCTTATGTCAAAGGTACTTGTTATGGGTGACTATAGTCAAAAATAATTTAATCGTACATTTTAAAGTAACTAAAAGAGGCCAGATGCCAAGGCAGGTGGATAACCTGAGGTCAAGAGTTTGAGAATAGCCAGGTCAATATTGCAAAACCCCGTCTATAGTAAAAATACAAAAATTAGCCAGGCATGGTGGTACACGCCTATAATCCCAGCTACTTGGGAGGCTGAGGCAGAAAAATCTCTTGAACCCGGGAGGCAGGGGTTGCAGTAAGCCAAGATTGCTCAACCGCACTCCAGCCTGGCTGAGAGTGAGATCCTGTCTCAAAAGAAAAAAAAATAAAATAAAATAACCAAAAGAGTATAACTGGATTGTTTGTCACACAAGATAATGCTTGAGGTGATAGGTACTCCATTTATCCTTATGTATTGCATACCTGTATCAGAATATCTCATGTAACCCATAAATATACACACCCATAAATATACACACATAACTATGCACTTACAAATATTTAAAAAAATGGTACTTATTACCAAATGTGATGTTCACTACCTTCACATTCATTGATTGTACAAATATTTCCTGAGTGCCTTTTACATACCAACCACTGTTCTGAGTATTTATGTGAATTCTGAAAATTATGCTATTCAATACTCTATAATATTTGGATTTTCAAGTCTTTGTATTTAAAATGCCAGCAAGTTTTGTCAATGATTAAATGATTCCATTTTTACTGATATTTGTTGCAACAAATACAAAACACAAAATGGTCAAGATCTGTACTGAATAGGCCTGTTAACACATTTAGTCTGGGAAGACTGGTTCATTTTAACCAGAGAATCTGATGGGTAGCCAAACTGTACAGAGGTTGCAACAGTTAAGTAATTAGAATATCTCTGAGTTCTTCCATTGTACTTACTATCATGATGAGTTTTGGTCAGATGATCAGAGTCCAAAGCATGATAATATTCATAAATTGAGCGGCCTAAAAGTTCTTCTGGCTCATATCCCATCAATTCGGTAATTCTGTTAGTAAAAAATACAAGATTTAAGAAAAAAAGGGAGACTAACTGATAAAAAATTTTCTCCTCCCAAGTTAACTGATAAGCATTAATCTTATGGACAAGTGAATTTTCAAAAATAAAGAGCATCCTCCTTTGCTTAGAATAAATTTACACCTCACCTTTAGGAACTACAGTTATTAAATGCAATACCACACATTTCTTTAAGTCCTCTAGGTTCGTCCTGTTATTTCACTCTTTTATCCTCTTCACCCAAACTTGTTACCTTTTTTTTTTTGAGACAAATTTTCCCTCGTGTTGCTTAGGCTGGAGCAGAATGGCATGATCTCGGCTCACCGCAACCTCCATCTCCCGGGTTCAAGTGATTCCCCTGTCTCAGCCTCCCGAGTAGCTGGGATTACGGGCATGTGCCACCATGCCCAGCTAATTTTGTATTTTTAGTAGGAACGGGGTTTCTCCATGTTGGTCAGGCTGGTCTTGAACTCCTGACCTCAGGTGATCTGCCCTCCTCGGCCTCCCAAAGTACTGGGATTACAGGCGTGAGCCAACGTGCCCGGCCTACTTGTTACCTATTCTTACCACATCTCATTATACATACTTTTGGTAACAAGGCAGGGTATTAATAAACAGATAAGAAGTACTACTAAATTAAATGGTAAAAGTTATAAAGGCAGTCAATGACACTTATTTTAAAATATAGATAAAATCTATAACATTTTTTCATAAAGCCAAATGCTTTATGTAGTAACTTTTAGGCCCCTAGGGAACACCTCACTCTGAGAAATCAATAGCCACTACACAATTCTATTATCAACCAAAGAGCATCTACACTAAATGGGAACTAAAGGAATTATGTTGGTTTTAGAAGATGCTCTTGTACTCAGTTTAGTTTTTGGCATTATGTGAAATTATGGGGGTAATTTCAGATAAAACAATATTTCAAATGAAAACAGATTGGAAAACAATCCAATTACCCTATCTATCTCGCTGGCAGAGAGTAGACCTTTATTTAAGACAGAGACTAGAGCTTATTCTCTGTAAGCAGTATGTAACGGCAACCATGACATGAGAAAGAGAAAGCTATCTTCTTAGTACCATGCTGAACAGAAATACTCTCTTCTCAAGTCTTTCTAGGAGCAAAACGTGAGTTAAGCTTTTAGATTCTCAGCCTTTAGATTTCACAGGACTTTCTTACTGAGGTGCAAGCAAACCTTATATAACATGCTGTGTGTGAAAAAAAACCCCACTTAACTACAGGAAGGACATAGCCAAGATATCCTATAAAGGTATAAAAGTAACATTGCTTGTGTTCTCACACTTAAAGGCAAGATCTTCCATAGTTTATTACAAAATAAATACATAAATGAAAAGCTGATTTGTCAAAACCCAAACCAAACTCAGCCCAAACCCTCAATTCTTTAAAAAGGGCCATCTCTAAACACAGCAACACCAGGTGGCAGCATTATAAAGGAAAACATGTTTTTAAACAAAATCAGTCATATTTCTTGAAATTATGCTTTAAAAATAATTTTAATTGGTCTTATATTTTTCTGTTTAAATAAAATCCCCATGGAATTAAAGACTTTTTCACTATTCAAATCTTAATATGCCCATGTGTGCCTGGCATTATTCTAGGTATGAAAATGCAAAGACAAAACTCAACATGAGGCTAATCTTCCAGTAGATGTACTGTACTACTTAGGAAATAATGTGATAAATGCAGTGATGAGAATCTATTCCATGGAATCCTATCCATGCAAAGGAATGGTAGAATGAGGAACAGCCTCTTATAGGAGACTTATGACTAGAGAGAGACAAAGGAAAGGCAAAACCACTTTCAGGAAAAAGGTACGGCATAAGCAAAAGATTTTTAAAAATGTTTAATGTGGTGCAGGTAACAAAGATTCTATAATATGGTTAGTGGAGAGAGATATGAGATGATGCTGAAGAAGTAGGTAGGGGGATCAGATTAATGAGGGTCTTGTTTATATTGTCATAGGAAGCTGATTTAATCTAATGTCCATCAGTGCTTCTCAATCTGAGGTGTGTCAATCACTAAAAGATACCAGAAAGTCAAAAATATCAACTGTATATGCTTTCCTAGAAGGTCAGTTTCACACATATTGAAGCAAAAAAGGTGAAGTTAATTTAACTTTAGAGAATTACATAGGTTATATTCTGTACCAAAGGGGTCGGGGTGTCCAGAAAATATGACCAAAAAGTGTTTTTAATGGACTAGGAAACCCGTGATCTAAAGCAGTATACAACTCATTCATTTTGAGGTAGGAACTATTCATCTTCATTTCTACTTTAGTCCCATGAACATAGTAGATGCTCAAATAACATGTTGAATAATTTTAAATGATTATTACTGAGTATAGTAAATAGCAGCTATTTGTGGAATATTTTGGAATTTAGGAGCTTGATATGTTAGATTTTCTTAAAATTGAGTAAAATTTTTTCCATAGCTTGGTTCTCAGGAGTTATAGATGCGAGAAGTTCTTGGAAAGAGCTCTAAACCAGAAAATAAGTCTGTTGGTCAAACTCAAAACTGTTTTGGTTGATATATGAGCTGACTGTCTTTACTGTTACCTCCTGTCATGATCATTTTGCTAATTTTCTGCTATAACTAAAGGGTAATGTCACTCCCTTTCTCATTTTTGCTCCATTACCTTCCTTTCTCCCTGGCTTCCCCTCTACTTTGTTACCTTAAGTTTTCAAAAAAATAAAAAATAATTTCTCAAAATAGGATGGAAATCTCTGTTCCATCATACATTTACATGAATACTAGTAGTAAACACCTTAAAATAATTCTTAGCTTTTCTATATTCATTTTCTTAAAGTTGACACCAGTAGTGAAGCATTCACTATGCGCACTAGGCACTCAACAGACTTCTTTAATCCTCACATCATCCTTCTGAGGTATGTTTTTTTTTTTGAGATGGAGTCTCACTCTGTCTCCCAGGCTGGAGTGCGGTGGTGCAATCTTGGTTCACTGCAACCTCCGCCTCCTAGATTCAAGCAATTCACCTACCTCAGCCTCCCAAGTAGCTGGGATTACGGACACGTGCCCCCATACCCAGCTAATTTTTGTATTTTTAGTAGAGATGCGGTTTTACCATGTTGGACAGGCTGGTCTCAAACTCCTGACCTCAGATGATCCACCCGCCTCATCCTCCCACAGTGCTAGGATTATAGGCATAAGCCACCGCACCCAGCCATGATTCTTATTTTATAGATAAGGAATGTGAGTTTTACAACGGTTAAGTACCAAGGCCAAGGCCACATTGTAAGTATCAGAGCTGCAAGCCATGAGTGAAACTAACATGTGATTCTAAAGACAGAGCTCTGTCATATTTCCTTATCCAATGGGGTGGGGTTTCTTGTCTACTTTATATTATGGCTAAGTGCTTAAACTGGTTTTCTCATATAATCTTCAAGTTAGTATTATGAAGAAACTGATGCTTACAGACAAGAACTAAGAACTAATGTGTCCAAGATCATTTGTATATAGGCAGCAAAGCCAGGATTTGGCAGTCAGGCTACAGAACCTATGTCCCCTTTAGCTACTATACTATACTATAGCCTTATAGTAAAAAATGAGACAAGCAGTACGATAGTAGAGTAAATGCTAACAAAAGAGGTATGTACAAGCAACAGTGCAGCTTCTTCTTGAAGGAACAAGGAAAGTCCCACAAAGGAGTAGATGCGCTTGGAAGGTAAGTATGTGTTAAGAAGTGAAGAAAATGTCATTACAGAATAGGAAAGTATGTGCAAAGGCAGTAAGAAAGTGGTCCCCAACCTTTTTGGCACCAGGGAAAGGTTGTGGAAGACAATTTTTCCACAGATGGGGGTGGGGATGGTTTCAGGATGAAACTGTTCCACCTCAGATCATCAGGCACTGGTCAAGATGGTTTTCATAAGGGGCACACAACCTAGATCCCTCATGTGCAGTTCACAGTAGTTTGCCACTCCCATGAGAATTTAATGCTGCCTCTGATCTGACAGCAGGTGAAGCTCAGGTGGGAATGCTCACCACTCACCTGCTATGCAGCCGGGGTCCTAACAGTCTGCGGACCAGTACTGGGGGTTGGGGACCACTACACTAAGACATTAAAACACCATGGGGAGCTCTCTAGCTATAGAGCGGTGGCGGCCACATCAGAATAAGTAGTCCCTCTTCCTCTTGATTAATCTGGAGAAGTAGGCAAGGGCCAGAACATAAATATCTTTGTTTGCCATGCTAAGTTTAGATTGTATTGTGTAGGTCTATTTTTTTTTTCAGTCTTTTAAAATGCACATCTTCTTTTGATAAATGAAAATTTACTTCCCTCATCTAGTATTTTTATAAACAAAATATTTTTGTGTGCAAAGATGAAGGGAAGCATTTGAGGCATTTTCAACAACAGAATGACATGATCTGATTTTCACATTAGGACACCCACTTTCTGGCAACTTGGATGAAAGATTACAAGGGTACAAATCTGTTGGCAAAAAGGCAGCTATGCCAACAACTCAAGTCAAGGGTAATAATGAGCTAATGAATTCAATGGCAGGAGTGCAAAGATGGAAAGGAGGAAATCGATCAAGAGATATATGTAGATAGTAAATCTGTAAGATTTAGACATCAACTGTATGTAGCCAATGAATGTAAAAGAAAAGTTAAGGATGACTTCCAAAGTTTTGTTGGAGTCATGGGCATATGGTGGTGTATTAACCATGATAAGCGTTATAGGAAGAAAAGCAGTTTTTGATGATGATGTTGTTTGGGGGCAGTAGTGGTACAGTTCAGTTACAGAAATACTTAGTTTACAATACAGAAGAATATCCAGATAGAAATATTAAGTTGGCAATTAAATAGAATTAGTTACAGAAAGAAATGTGGGAAATAGTGATAGAAACCATGGGCAAGATTGAAGCTTCTCAAGGAAAATATGTAGGATGAAGAGATGTACAAACACTTGGCTTTCTAGTCCCCAACCTAAGGTAATCTATCTTTGCTCAAAATACACACTGCATATTTTTGAAATTCTCTTTTTAAGTAAGCAGAGCCCCTACTGGGGAAAAAAAGACTCATCTTAATTTCTGGATAGCACCTAGTAAAGTAAGCGTTCATAGTACAAAGTAAGTGTTCAATAAATGTGGCTGAATTAATTTACAAAGTTAATCTAATATTATAGGATGTATTATTCTGTTTAATTTAGTGGAAAGCATAGTTTAACACTGAGTAATTTTTTTTTTTTTTTGAGATGGGGTCTTGCTCTGTCATCCAGGCTGGAGTGTGGTGGTGTGATCTTGGCTCACCGCAACCTCCACCTTCCAGGTTCAAGCGATTCTCCTGTCTAAGCCTCCTGAGTAGTGCCCGCCACCACGCAGTGCTAATTTTTGTATTTTTAGTAGAGATGGGGTTTCACCACATTGGCCAAGCTGGTCTCAAACTCCTGACCTCAGATGATCCATCCCACCACGGGCCTCAGCCTTCCAAAGTGCTGGGATTACAGGTGTGAGCCACCATGCATGGCCAACATTGAATCTTTGCTACGGTGAATATTCAATAATGCTGTAGACTAATTAAAACTTTCAAATTCACATTTTAGATCTAATTTACCTTTCGTCACAATAAGAAAATTTCATATCCAGGCTGTGTCGACTGAGAAAAGTCTTGCTATCTAGAGGAATTTCAATATTTGATGGGTGAGGAATGGGTTCACAAATCAGCACCAAGCAGGTCATAGGTGGTTTCTTATACCCACACTGAGGTTGGTTACTGTTGGTATCATATACGTGAATATGGCCTGTGCAGTGCAATACCTGTGTATGAAGAAGAAAACAAAGCAGTTAACAAAAATTTTACAATGCTAGGGGAAAAAAAAAAAAAAAGCAGAGATAAGTTGTTGAGTGTGACATGGCCAGTAAGCTTTGATAAAATTTACTGTCACTAGTGGATTAACCAGGTTTTTAAAAATCAATGAACGTTTTTCCACCACCCATGACCTACTTCCTGCCCAGGGCCTATACATTACTGTTTAAAAAATTCCCCTCATATAAAGTCTAGGCTGCTTTTTCATTCATCTCATCATCCGGGCTGGTTTGATAGTTATTTCTTGCACTGATGACTATGTCTCAACATTGAACAAAGATACAAAACCATGATTAATAGAAAATTAAGCCCTACCAGGATCCAAATATTGTATGGTTGGCAAAGCCAACTGATTAAGTAAGCCTAGTATACCAGTGCCACAATTCACCTAATTTAAGTTTGTGCCTCAAATTGGCAAATTACTACATGGTTCTGGATTTTGGGAATCATATGCAAATCAGTTGAAGGTATAAATGTTACATAACCAAACACCAAGGAACTGTAAACCTTCCCTCACAATTCTAAAGTTATCTTAATACTGCAATGTCTATGTATAAATAAAGTGTATCATCAATCACAAATAATTTTCACTTACCTTCCATGTTGCAGACTTTATGTTCATAGTTCTTCCTCGGCTAGTTAGGGTACACTTCATTCTGAGAAAAAAGCTTCGCTGTGTGTTTTGTTCTTTACCCTTTTTCACAGGGCCTAATGAAAGCATGAAATAAAGTTTTAAAGCAACTAAATATACAAATTTGTTACAATGAAAGTAGCAAAGTGCCCATCACCTAGATCAACTGAATACCTGTTCAATTAAAAGTCTCAGCATGAACACAGTAATTCATTCCCCTTTTACTCACTCCAGCACACCCAAGAGATCTGACACATACTACTCAGTAGCTCTGATTCCCTGAGTTGACTGAAAGATAATCCGTATTTGGGATAACAGTTAATCATTCAAGCAAGTAAGTTTAGTCAAACTACAGAGAAATATAAAAATGGTATGAGTTTGCTCTTTAACTGTGCTATTAGTACACAAGAATCCCTAAAGAAAGAACTTCAGCAAACTCTTACTATTCTTTCCTGAATGTGTTAGCTCAATTTCTAATAAACACTCTATGTATTTACAGAACCTTTAAAATAGCAACTTTCTTTTTAATAACAAATAACACTTTTACATATCTTATTTTTTCCCCTTAATTTATCTAGTAAAGCAGGCAGAAAATTATTTCTACTTTGTTACTATAAGAAAACAACAACAGATCAAATGACTTATCAAAAGTTACAGAAATAGGGCATGGTGGCTCATGCCTGTAATCCCAGCACTTTGGGAGGCTGAGGCAGGAGGATCACTTGAGGTCAGGAGTTCGAGACCAGCCTGGCCAACATGGTGAAACCCTGTCTCTACTAAAAATACAAAAATTAGCTGGGTGTGATGGTGGGTGCCTGTAATACCAGCTACTTGGGAGACTGAGGCAGTCAAATCACTTGAACCCGGGAGGCGGAGGTTGCAATGAGCTGAGACTGTGCCACTGCACTCCAACCTGGGCGACAGAGTGAGAATCCATCTCAAAAAAAAAAAAAAAAAGAGCTACAGAAATAAAGTCAGAATTAAGTAAAGTCTATTCACTCCTATTTCAAACCTTCTATAACTAAAAATGAGATTATATTTAGGTGACTAAGGAAATAGCATCTTGCTGGGCGTGGTGGCTCATGCCTCATGCCTGTAATCCCAGCACTTTGGAGGCTGAGGCAGGAAGATCACTTGAGGCCAGAAGTTTGAGACCATGCTGGCCATCATGTTAAAACCCCATCTCTACTAAAAATATAAATATTAGCTAGGTGTGGTGGTGCACGCTTATAATCCTAGCTACTCGGGAGGTTGAGGCGTAAGAATCACTTGAACCCAGGAGGCAGAGGTTGCAGTGAACTGAGATTGTGCCACTGCACTCCAGCCTGGGTGGCAAAGTGAGACACTGTCTCAAAAAAAAAAAAAAAAAAAAAAAAAAAGGAAATAGCTTCTTGATTTCTTATCTTCATTGGTCAATGTACTTCAAAACACATATAAAAATATTTATTATTCAGAACCTGGACTAGACATTGCAGGCAATACAAAGATGAGTAAGACACACCACCTTTCCTGAAGAAGTTAAAAATGTAGTAGATATAGTAAGATCAACAAAAACACAATGTAGAGTTGGTACTTGAGACTTATAAAAATGCTTTAAGGGAGGATAGGGAGAGCTTAGAGGAATAACTTCTAGTCAAGGGGAATCAAGAAGTCCTGCTTAGGAAAAAGAGACATTAGAATGTCAGTAAGTAGAGATGGGTTAGAAGGTTCCAGGGAGAAGGAAGAGAATGAAAAGCACAGAGGTAGGAAAAGTAGGACATGTTTGAAAAACTGCATATAGTAGTTTGTCCACAATGTAAAGTACACATAGAAGAGTAGTAAGGCAAAGTCAGAAGGGAAGGTTAGGGCTGTACTACGGAGGCCTGTGGATGTCCACATGGAGTCCTGCCTAAATATTCAACAAGGGGCTTTTAAAAAGCACAATCAGTAAATTAAGGAAAATTAACTTAGCAGCAATATATATGTTAGAATTACGTGACTGTAATGAGAGGGCTGAGCCAGTAGCAGGAGTATGAGTGAAAAGAATGGTGGTAAAAGACAAATGAAGAGGTAGATCTTAATAGACTTGAAAACGGATGGAAATAAGACAGGAGAGAAAATCAAATCTAGAAATTGTAATGCTAGTATATTGGAAGAACACTGTCAAGTAGAAAAGAAATTAGAGTAAGTTTAAATGTAGGCATGGTTAGCTAGAAATGCTGGACTCTTAAGGAACAAGATGAATTCTAGCCTATACTCATTTAATAATGGAACTAGGCAAGATGGGCAGTCCTGGTACTGATGCATGCCACTTGGGTTTACTTAGGTAAGAAGTGAATTTGCCCTCCCTGGAAGGATTCAAGAGTGTATTTTTAAAAGATGCCATGAGAGCAAAGGGTGGGGGTGGGAGGCGAGGGGAAGGGAGGGAGTGTGGGAGGGAGAGAGAGAGAAAGAGAGAATGAGTGTGTCGTGTGTGTATGTAGGTGGTGATGGTTGTGGTAGTGGCAGTAAAGATCCACATACAAAATCCTTTGGGTATGTTCAGTCCTTCATAATCTAAGCTTGAATTATACTGACCTTTGAAAAGAACCCAAGGCCTTTGAATGGGGACCTGCAGATTAATTTAAAAATCAAGGTAACTGAAAAGTACTAGTGTTTTCCTAATGAGGAAAAAAAAAACAACAACAAACCATTAAAAAAAAACCCTAAATTTTAAACTCTCTAAAAATAAGTCTTATTTTGTAATAATTTATAAATTCTAAAGCATTTTTCTAGAATTTATACAGAAGAATAATAGGACTATTTGTCCTATTATAAACACACCACTGGCTCTCAGTGTATCACTAAAATATGATGCTTTGCAACAGTCCCTGGTTTCTAAAAGAGAAAAATCTGCATTTTAGTTTCCCAATGGAACATCAATAATTCATAACCACATTAGGAACGATTTCAAAATGTTTGTGTGCTTTAAAAAAGAACATTTGGTTCGAAACATACATTTAAACTATATTAAGACTATCTGATTTAGAATAATGCATTAACATCATTACCAAATCAGAACAATACTTCCTAATATCCATCCATTTATAGTCTAGCCCCAGGGAAGCACTGAGCAGTCAATATAAACCTCAACTCTGCACATTAGAACTCATATATTAAACTCACTGACAGCCCACTTAGGTCCTTGTTCATCGCATATTTACTCCTCCTTTATATAGAATTCTAAAAAGTATGCATTTGTTTTCCAAATTAACAGTAAAAACACAATATGAAATTTAAAAACAGGAGTCAGGTCCCGCTGACAGCATGAAAAAAGACAGAATGTGAGAATTCAAGAATATGAAAAGCGCTCCAAAGGACTAATGAGCGTGGACTCTGAAGCCAGTCTACTGAAGTTCAGCCCAAGCTCTGCCATTTACTAACCAAATAATGTTGGGAAAGTTACTTAGTAACTCTGTGCCTCAGTGTCCTGGTAAAACAGAAATTGTCTAACAGTTAACTTCACAGGGTTGTTGTGAGGAATAAAGGAGTTAAAAGCATATAAAATAGGAAGAACAGTGTCTTGGCACAGAGCATTCTCTCAATGGAGGTTAGCTATTATTATAATAAATGATATGAAAAAGAAAACCTCAAATATTATACAAAAAATAAATTTGAGGTTGTATAATATAGAAGCAAACAAACGTATGCACTTAAATTGGAGAGCAACAAAGGACAGCAGAACGTAAGAAATTTTCCTTGTGGTATCTTTCCATCATGAAGAAAAGTTCAATTATGATCAGTATACACTGCTTAAGAAGGCACAAATGTGGAATGACTTGCTTGAATTGTTTTTGTAATTCAAGAGGTACTTTCCAAAAATCTTAGAACACACGATTTTTAAAATAATTATGATCAGTATACACTGTTTAAGAACACACAAATGTAGAAAGACTTTAATTTTTTAATTCACGAGGTACTTTCCAAAAATCTCGGAACACTTGATTATTTTTAACAATTCATTCGTAAGAATTAGCGGTCTTACTGTCTATTTTTGTTAATATGTGGGCCTCCACAATGTAATACTTATAATCTAACTATACGGTCTTGAATTATTGAGAACATCCGAAGAAGTCAGATAAGCAGTTGTTTGTCTTAAAATTCTGGTGAACTTTTTTTTACTGGGCCTTAGACTCAGACTGGCACCTCAACTTTAATGATTCTCTAAAGTCCTATTATCTGCCATTTGTATTATAATTTCTCCATGCTTTAATGGTGTATTTTAATTTTTAACTCCACCAGGTGTGGTGGCTCATGCCTATAATCCTAGCACTTTGGGAGGCTGGGCCGGGAGGATCACTTGAGTCCAGGAGTTCAAGACCAGCCTGGGCAATACAGCGAGAACCCCCATCTCAATTTTTAAAAAAAAGGTAGCCTGGGTGATGGCTCATGCCTGTAATCCCAACACTTTGGGAGGCTGAGATGAGAGGATGGTTGAAGCTCAGTAGTTCAAGACCAGCCTGAGCACCACAGTGAGACTTCGTCTCTACAAATGATTTTTAAAAAATTAGCTGGGCATGGTAGCATGCGTCTGTGGTCCCAGCTAACTTGGGAGACTGAGATGGGAGGATCGCTTGAGTCCCAGCAGTAAAGGCTGCAGTGAGCTGATTGTGCCACTGCACTCCAGCATGGGCAACAGAGCGAGACCCCATCTTAAAAAAAAAAAAAAAAAAGGTTATTTATAACTCTCTTGGTCATGATTTTAATTTATTTTTCCATTTTATTTCTCACACATGCACAATTATTTATGCAATTAGGTGGGCTTTCAAAATGAAATTCCTAAAAACTAGAATAATAGTTTTAATGAAGAATAGACTTAACGTTTTATTAAACATGAAATAACATTCTTCCTTAGGTAAGTTACAATAGCAAAGTTTAATAATTAGCAATAGTATCTGATTATGTAAAACCACCTGTCACATTAAATCAAACAGCAGACTTTTCTTACCATTTCTGTGTGTAAGCATTTCTCTCATTTCCTCATGGTCACATGGATGAGTAAAATCAAACACACTGTGTCCAGTTAGTTCAAACTGTAAACACATTTTTAAAAATTAGGGCTATATCATAAAATCATAAAAACATATAGGAGGGCTCTTAATATGTGTGCATTTTACCTGAGTTAATCCCATGTATTTGTTCACATTATCAGAAATGTAAATCATGTCACCATCATCTGTGAGAACCATAACAAAACCATCCAAGGCTTTCAAATAAAAGCAATTCATTTGTGCTTTCATTTCATCTTCAATATCCAAATCACCTAAAAAGGGCACAAGAAGAGGAAAATAATTAGTTAAAAAGTTGTACTTAAATGATATAATATTTAGGTGTTTTTATAAAGTTTTCTTGCAGATACTTTAATATATACAGCCATTTTAACACAGAACAGTGAAGGCCAGAAGCTAGAAAGACTATAATTAGATGTGCCAGCTGCTTTTCATGATTAAAGTAATGCAGCAAGGCAAACCATAGAAGAAAGAAGAGTCATGTTTTTTATTTACTTATTATTATTATTATTTTTGAGATGGAGTCTCACTCTGTCGCCCAGGCTGGAGTGCAGTGGCGCGATCTCGGCTCACTGCAAGCTCCGCCCTCTGAGTTCAAGTGATTCTCCTGCCTCAGCCTCCTGAGTAGCTGGGATTACAGGCACCTGCCAGTGCGCCCATCTAATTTTTTGTATTTTTGGTAGAGACGGGGTTTCACCATTTTGGCCAGGCTGGTCTTGAACTCCTGATCTCATGATCCACCCACCCCGGTCCTCCCAAAGTGCTGGGATTACAGGTGTGAGCCACCGTGCCCAGCCTGAGTCATGTTTTTCAAAGAAAGAAAGGTAGATGGAACAGGAGAAAAAGGGAAAAAACAAACAAACAAAAAGCCAGTATCTTATTCCTGACTAAAGCTTTAAAAGCAGGTAATAAAAAGGATGTTATATTAGAAAAGAATTGGGAGTATGTTTAAGAGAATAAAGCAAAACAAATTACAATACAAAAAAAAAGGTTATTTCAAAGAATAACTGATAAGAAAAAATGAAGCTTGATAAAAATAGTAAGAATTACAGAAAAAATTTAAACATGTACATACCACAATATAAGGAGATATGCAAAATCAACACATTGCAACCACCTTCTAAAAATAATTTCTATTTACTTCTAACTTCTAATTTTCAGGCCTATTTCTACCCTTGTAAAATAACTCACCAGCATCCAGAAGTTTCCTCACACGCAAATAGCTGATGGTAAGCCTCATAACAGAGGCCTTATCAAGATGCGAGCTCACATTATGTGGAAGTGGCAACTGATGAGCAAGCTCATAAAAAACTTCAGATTCTTTACTTCGCCGAGATCTGGCTGCATCTCGAGACTTTTCTTTTCGACGTTCAGAACTTATCCTACTTAACAACAACAACAAAAAACAAGAGATGGAAAGTGTATACAAGTTAGTTTGCCTTAACTTGAATAAAACTCTACATTTCTGCTTATCACAGAAGGATGAGAAGATGCCATGTAATTAAGTTACATGGAGATTTGTCTATGAGATTAATGTACTTTTATAAAGGACAACTATACAAATTTTGGATTACTGCATACATAAGGAACTCTCAAAAAAAGTCCAAAACCAAGCGTTAAACCTGTCGGAAGCAGGTGTTTCCTCCCCAGCATGTGTAATTGGAGAGAATGTTTTTATTTTAGGCAAAAACTTAAAGTAGCCTGTACATCTAAGGCTGTAATTCATAGAATTAAAAAGTAGTCTCAACACAGAGAAACTACAACTAAGGCTAGAGAAACTGCCTAAAGTTGTACATAATAACTTGAAAACAGGAGTTGTTAGCAGGTAGAATGGTAATAGCTACAAACTGATTTCTACTCAAGTTTCTTTAGACTCCAGTACTTTCTCACCGTTTACCTTACCACATGAACAACACTAACAATAAGCTATAGGAACTGATATTAGCAGCTGTAAGCCAGTGCAGGTTGCCTCCTCCCTTAGCAGCCCCTTATCTATTACTGGCACAACAGGTGCCAAATAAATGCAGGAATATGGAAGAAAAAAAGCTGTGGCACACACAATACCCAGAATTTAAAGGGATAGGTTAGCAAAGATAAAGGTGTCAATACAATGACATATCTTCAGGGAACTCTTTCAAGAAGGATGTCAGAGTCAGAAAGATTTTCATTGTCACACCAAGCAAATCTGTCATCCTTTGCTTAACTGCCTAGTGACATCTAATAGCTTCTTGAATAGCGACAGTTTATGTATGAAAGGTTACCATGTGCCAACATTACCCTGTACTAGGTGCCTAGTTCTCTCACAACAACCTGTAAATAGGTTAAATATTGTCCCTATTTTACAAATGAAGAAACTGGCGTTCAATAGGTTAAAAGTAGCCATTATGTAGCAAATAGGATTTGAATCCAGGTGTTTTTTTACTCTAAAGTCTTTGCTCTTCCACTATATTTCTCTTCTTAATGGGGAATGCTGCTTCTACTTTAAACATACACATGATCTCCTATGCCCCTGAACTCACTCCTGTTAAATAGGTTCTTCACCAAAAGTTAAAAACCGCTATTATGATTTCGTGAGCATTGGGCAGTATGCTAAATAAGGACTTTTAGTCAGCATTATTTTACTTAATCCTCCTTACATCCTGTGAATGAAGTACCTAATTGTATCCACCTCAGATCTCTCCTCCTTCCAAATGATCTGCAAAGCTGAAAGGTACAACCATAGAAGCAACATTCTGGACTAACAGGCACAGTTCTCAGCATATGCTCTTGTTACAATATAACATGTTGTATTGTGACAATAGAGATACTAATTTTAGCACTTAAGTTTATGTGCTTACAGGACTTTTATACTTTAATGAGGAATGTAAGCATGTTATTGAACTTTGATACAAAAAATTTCAACTCAAGCATGTAGATCAATTTAACTTGAGTACCTTGAAATTTAAGGTGAGCTATTAAAAACTATTATCTTCATCTGGTTAGATAGATGGTGGAGTAAAAAAAGGAAGAAACTATTATTACTTAAAACTGGTTATATGAATCTATATGAACTATAACTAGTTATATGAACTAGGATTTTCTCAATGCTGTACAATAAAAAAAATTAGTCACTGAGGCTACATGAAAATGCAAATGCCAGCAGTCTATTTTATTTTTCATTTCGCTGCATTGTTCTCTGTAAATGTGTTCAATTTGAACTTAAAAATAAAATGTTATGACTTGATCTGTATAAGCAGAGGAGTAAAATAAAAAAAAGTATGACAATAATAATTCCAGCATACACTGGAGTTCCATATACCATTCCCAGGATGGGGGGTATCTAGCAGGTCCCTATTGGCCCTAACAGAAACTCCCTCACTTCCTCCCCGACCCCCTTAAGCTGTAGGTGAGAGGCAGTGATAGCTGTGGGAAATAGCTTTCTATTTGGTTCAAATAAAGCCTCCAAAATAGAGTGATGATCAATTATCTCATGTTAAACCTGAATATTAGTTCAAATGCCAAAATCAGTCCAGGTGTTATTACCTAGGATGGTCTTGAACTCCTAAGCTCAAGCAATTCTCCTGCCTCAGCCTCACAAAGGGCTCAAATTACAGGCTTGCACCATTGTGTCTAGCCAAAGTATTCAGAATTTTATAAGCAACTTACCATATTTTTTCTGAACCACTCAACTGATGTAAACTACCAATAAATGACTACCCAAATGAAACACTTGGTGAAAAATTGAAAACCTTATAATACATGCTATATATGCCTTTTTTTTTTTTTTTTTTTTAAATGGAGTTCTGATCTTGTCACCCAGGCTGGAGTGCAATGGCAAGATCTCGGTTTACCGCACCACTTCCCAGGTTCAAGCAATTCTCCTGCCTCAGCCTCCCGGGTAGCTGGGATAGCTGGGATTATAGGCATGCAGCACCAAGCCAGGTTAATTTTTGTATTTTTAGTACAGACAGGGTTTCACCATGTTGGCCAGGCTTGTCTCGAACTCCAGACCTCAAGTAATCCACCCGCCTCGGCCTCCCGAAGTGCTGGGATTACAGGCGCGAGTATATGCTTTTTTTTTTTTTTTTTTGGAGATAGAGTCTTGCTCTGTCGCCCAGGCTGGAGTGCAGTGGCCGGATCTCGGCTCACTGCAAGCTTCACCTCCCGGGTTTACGCCATTCTCCTGCTTCAGACTCCCGAGTAGCTGGGACTACAGGCGCCCGCCACCTCGCCTGGCTAGTTTTTTGTATTTTTAAGTAGAGATGGGGTTTCACCGTGTTAGCCAGGATGGTCTCAATCTCCTGACCTCGTGATCCGCCCGTCTCAGCCTCCCAAAGTTTCGTGATTACAGGCTTGAGCCACCGCGCCCGGCCTGAGTATATGCTTTTAAAGGGTATCCAAGCAAGCTAACTATGGTGATGGAATGTCTCCAGTTCCTCTGAAATACATGTGTTGTCCAGAACTCTGAAGATAGCAGTGACTATCCAAGGAGTGGCAATAAGTGTCTAAGACAAATCCATTAGAAATGTGAGGTTAGATAAAGCATCTAAAGGACAGTATATTTAAAAGCTAGTGTAGACTGAAAATAAGAATTTGAGCATGAGCCTGAATTTTGGAAGAAAACCAGCCTTCAAGAAAACAACTAATATAGAGTTGACAAACCTATATTAGATGAAGAAGGTGATAAAAATCATTAGGTCCTTTATCACACAATGAGTCTAGACATAAACCAATCAGGGGATCTATAATAAAGATTTAATGGAGAAATTTTTATGATAGTCTTCATATGTGACTACTAGAGGTCTTGTAACATTTCTAAGTAAGCTTAAAGCTAAAGCTTCCGAAGTTCTTATGAGTTTCAGCATCTAAACTGCCCAGCTTCTTGTCTAGTCACAGGAAGGCTAATTTTATCAGTTTTATAACACAGAATTACAGTACTGACCAATAATTACTTCTGTTAGACCAGGGGGTCTAGGTCCCACAGAGATGAATCCTGTACTATCTGTTTTATTGCTTACATTGCACAACAGAAGATGTATAGATCAGAAAGAAGTACATCTTCTGCATGCAAATAAGGTCACTATATTTCTCTAAATTTTATAAATTGCATCTATTTTGTTTTTAAGTACAGGTCAAATGAAGTTCTGCTGCTGCTATGTTCTGCTACTGCATAAGGTACTGTTTCTGTTAAGAGTACAGTCAAAATAGTTTATTTCCCCATTTCTATGACTGTTCTAGATCTAAAGCTGGGAGTATACTACTGGCAAAATAGCTCAATCTTTGTGGTACTGTAGTTTTTACATGTTTACTATTTTATTATTTAATATACAGTATTAGACACAAAAGTAACAATTATATCTTGAAATTACAGGAAATATATTTAGAAAAATAATTGAGCCCCTGTCTTATGAAGCTTCTTGTGTACAAAGTTCATGAATAAGCAATAGTTGTTTATAGAGAATGTCTATTATTCTTCAGATTAAGAACACAAAATATTTGGTGCTTTGTAGTAGGTCAGTAAAAATTAAAAAAAATAAAAGGACACAAAATAATAGTAGGCATTTAAAGTCATCTTTCCGTATTGCACAAAAAGCCTGTTAGCATTCCTAATTGTAAAAATATGTGACTTCGAGAACTGAAGTTAAACCATAACTATTTAAAATGTTAGCAGATTATCAGATTTATTTCTAATAAAGTTAATGTACCTCAATTCTATTATCTGGTGAAATAACTCTTTCTGGCCTTGAAGGTACAAGTTGGTTTTTGTTGTTTTTGCACTTGTGTCAGTATTTCTACAGGACTGACATTCTGAAGTGAAATTTCATGATATAAAAAATGTGCTACTGAAATTTTTTAAAGTACATAATAGCTTTCCAAATGGTTCTGTGCCCATTTTTGTCTCTGCCAGTTCATGAATATGTATATCAATTCCCCCACGGACTCTGCAATATAATATATTATGCATCTTTTAAATCTTATTAATTTCTGCTGAGTTGATAGGTGAGAATTACATCCCATCGTTTTAACTGCCCTGCACTTTTTAAAGTCTCAGGCCCAAGAAAAATACAAAGAAAAGTTCATGTTCACTCTTTAGTTGGCATTTTTGCCTGCAGTTTTATTTTCATTTTATTTTAGAGACAGAGTCTTGCTCTGTCACCCAGGCTGGAGTACAGTGGCATGATCATAAGCTCACTGCAGCCTCGAAATTGTGGGCTCAAGTGATCCTCCCTTTCTCCACCTCAGCCTCTCAAGTAACTACAGGCACACGCTACCATGCCCAACTAATTCTGTTAAATTTTTTGCAGAAATGGAATCTATGTTGCCTAGACTGGTCCTGAACTCTTGTGCTAAAGTGATCCTCCTGCCTTGGCCTCCCAAAGTGCTAGGATTATAGGTGTGAGCC